AAATTTGTTGATTTAATCTATCTGCTTGCTTTTACCGAACAAATATATATATACGGGGAAATATGTTCCATTCACCCTTGAACTTGGTCTTACCAAGATTTTAGTAGATAATTCTATGTATGATATGATATTATGTTGCATATAAGATATCTTTACGAAGCCTAGTATGCTATTAAACATTCGTATTGCGTCTTCGCATTCAGCCTTAAATCGATGCATTCACGGGCTTTGAATCTCCATATTGTTCAGGTTGTGCGCCGCCTGGTTACGACTGTCTCTGATCTCCTATCTCAAGAGGTAAGGATTGTTGAGCAGCCGCCTCTTCTTTGTATGCACCTTTGTTTCAAACGTTTTTTGGGTATGCTTCTCGTTTTCTGTTCTAAGCATGTAGATGAAGTTCTCTTTAGCATCCCTCCGCTCCAAATCTCACATCGCTCCGTACGAAATCGTCAAGATTGCGTAGAAGGCCTGATTGGATGGATAATGAAGATTTTGTCATTGTTGATGACAGAAAGGTCCTATGTCTGTTCTCTTTTGTAATTTTGAGTTTTTTTTTCTCTCTGAAAACTACTCAAATTTTTTGCAGTTGCGGAACGCTTTTGTATTAACTTGTTTTTCAGAACCGCCGCGATATTACGAATGACCATCCGGTTTTGCGTGTGTATAATTCCGCGCAATCGCTTCCCTCACATTCATCGTAAGTTAAAATTCTTGAATGCAAATTTCTTCGATATCATTCTATAAGCATTACGCTGTGAAAATGAGTAAACGCTATTTTGAACCTTTTTCGGGTGATTTCTGAAGCTGGATGTGATCACATGGAAAAATATTTTCTTTGCAACTGCTAGAAGATTTAGTTATTTTTCTTTGCTCACTTTTCTGTTCTGAGCGTTTGCAAAATTGCTCAGGCTTAATTTCGGAGTTGTAAACAAAACTGCGTGCTTTGTGCATGCTGGATATTGTTTTTTTTTTTGTTTACGTGTCCTTTTTTGGCATAAGTTTCGTTCTGAACATTCTCATTGCTAAAAATCTAACGGCAAGCACTTCCCTTTTCTGCTTATGAAGATATATCAGATTGAGTAGACTACACAGATGTTCTTCTTGTAAAATTTTTTAGTACTCAAATAGTATTTATTTCCATTATTATAGGGCTAAGTCGGTGGGAAGTGAGAGTAATGAAAGCGGTACGACCACGCCTACGTTACCTAAGGAAAGCCACACTCCTGCGTGCGTTTTCCTTTGCTATATTTTTTTTCAAGTTTAAGAAACCAATATTTCAGCGTTCCGGTATCTCGACAGCGACGTTCACCGGCTAGCCTTCTTGATTCGGGTGGAAACTTATCAAATAGGCGCAAGCAAAATTTGAATGCTATCAATGATGTAGAGGATAATCTAACGGTTGCTTTTCGATTTAATATTTTTTACCTGAAGAGAATAATTCCTAGGGTCTTAAACCTAGTTCCTTTCCGATTTTATAAGTTCTTTTGTTTCCTCTGAATGTTAATGGCAATAAACTCGCATACAGCAGCATTGCACGCTTTGTGTTGTAAAAGGATATCTTTGATTTCTTAGATTCTCTTCAAAAACGGAAAGCCAAGCAAAGTGGACGATCTTGCTATGGTTCCCGTCTATCTCTCGAGTGCACAGAAGCAGTTGTTCTTCTCATCACTAAAGCAGATTCATCCGGATGAACCCGACGGGAAGCACGTTTGTTCACAATGTAACGAGGTGGTTCCGAATCTCAAGGTTAGTAATGTGTAATGTTGATACAAGCACCATCTTTTCACTTTCAATCGCAATGATAGTATTCATCAATACTACGGCTTTAAAACGAAGACCCATATTGTTCGTAAAAGGGTTTTTACGAGTTGCATTACTTGTATCTTGAAGTCCTGTATTGAGCAGCTCTCGTTACGTTTTAGAATCAGACGAGCGATTTTACTAGTTCTAAGTTGCCAATACGATTTTTGAGTTAATTTCACTCCCTTATTTGCCTCGTTTACAGGAAGGAAGGCGGCATATGGTGACACATATACGAGTAATGCGACTTCGCTGTTCGCTATGTGGTGCGGGTTCATTCTTTTGTACTGATCTGCGGGTGCATCTGATGGAAGGCTATTGTGAAAAACTACATCGTGCACCGGAAGGAGTTGTCGATCTAGAGCGTCACCCCTGTATGACTAAAGAGCAGGTCTGTGAAATTTTTCTATAGCAAATTTGGGATATCTTAATAAATACATTTTTCCACTACTCTTGTATGGGATGAGCGGTTAAGATCATTGCATGACAATACATGAAAACAGACAATAAACTTTTTTTTTCTTTCTTGAACTATAAGACTTTGAACTCTGTAAACGCAGCCAAAAGCGGCATATCTCGCTTCATTGTGAACGGATTTTTTTGCAATTCGCGCGAATGTGATTTTATCGACATACAATCATATACTTTAGCAGTTTTCGATCTGTCTGAAACTGCAGATAAATTGAAGAAACTACGAAAATTGAATATGCGCAACTGAAAGCTGATCAGAATGATAACTACACATTTTATTCTCACATTCAATACTTTAGTCGGTTTCTGATCTTTCTAGGGGTATAATTCTCTGTAAAACACACCACATCGTAAGATATTGCCAGATTTTGGTAACGAATTTGTGCTTATTCTGCAGCAAAAAACTCCCCTTTCGTCATACTCAGTCGTCTTGCCTATGCAACTGCTTACAGGGTTGTAATTTTTGGAAGTTCATTTAAGACCAGTACGTGAGGCAGATACATGGTCCAAGGTGCACCAATTTTGATCGCCATCTCAGCTTGGATGAGTTCTTTCAGTTCCAAAATCCAGCTCCTATTGTTCTTGGAGTTCTTAAACTAAGTGGGAAATTCTGCTCTCACGGTGTAGTCGTGATTGGCTTAAATTTCTTTCCTGACTGTCGCGTAGTACCAGTAGGTATTACAGGTGCTGATGCACAGCTGCGCCTTTGTGATCATTGAGTTTTCTTTTTGGTCATATTTCTCGGATCTTTTCCCATCATTTTTTGACCAAGCTTAACGTTTGCTCCGCATCCAGTTCGTACCAGTTGTGGTAACCTCTTTGAGAAACAATGCAAACGAAGCTGTTGAAAAACGCGCCGGTTTTCAGGTTTTCTACGGCTTCTATGTGAACTGCTCGTGTAGTTAAGCATGTGTACGAGCATATGTACATTTTCTCGTGATCTTGCGAATTGATAAGACCAAGAGAGTCACAACCAATTTCATTAAAATGGTTTTGTAATTCTTATTCCTCTAAGCAAAGGCAGCTTCTCTAGGCAATCGGGAGACTGTGACATTGCATGTTCAGCTTTCGAGGTACCTTCTCACTGCCTTCATGGGCTGGGATGTGCAAAATCGCTGGCTTGCTGAATCCATGATTCCACAGTTTTGATAAATGTAATAGATCAGCATCAGACGTAATCTGATTTGAGAAGAGGATTGATGATTTAATGCAATAAGTAGTATCGTGTTTTCTGTACGAGTTGACGTACAATACTAAATTCGCCCTTTATCACTGTCACTTTACGGGAACGTTTATGTACTTTACTCGTGTAGAGAGAGAATAGTGCACCGAAGCGATAAGCAGTCTTTCATTCATCTTAATATCGTGATATTTGATGCTTAGAACAAAGTTTTTTTGC